CACATACACCAAATTTAGCTAAAGTGTATTTGATACTTATAATTATATGCTTGGAAATGCAGAATTCCAAAATAATTGTGTAAATACTAGCATTAACCAATTAGAAAACGTAATGGGTACATAAAAGAAGACCTGAATACATTGAAAGATATATAACATAACATTTATAGCCGGGAAGACTCTGTATTGTTAATATGTTTGTTCTTCCCCAAAGCTTAAAATCAATGCAATTATAATCAAAATACAATAAAATTTTTACGGAGATTGACAAGCTGATTCCAAATTTCATCTGGAAGAGAAAATGTATAAGGATAATTAACAGAAGAGTAGTGATGTGGTGGCATTCCTCTCCCAAAACCATAACAAAAGAGACCATAAATCCATACCAATTAATGTAGCAGAGTATTTTAAGAGGCATAGATACAGAGATAAATAGAATAAAATAGAACAGAAACAGACCCATGTAACTATGTAATTGAATACATCCTAAAAGTCAATTCAAAAAGATGGAAAAAGGAAAAATCATTGAACAAATGATCGTATCACATTGACCATCCAACTGAAAACACAAAATTGGATTTCTAGCTTGTGATACTAAAAATAAATTATGGGTGGATTTCAAGAAAAGGAAAATGATACATGTTTCAGATGAAAATATGAAGTGGTTTGATAATTCAAGGCACAGAGGCCTTCCTAAGGAAATAGAAGACCTAGAAGCCATGAAGAAAGCCACTGAGAAATGTAATTGCTTAAAGAAACATTTGTTGTCATTGCTAAGAGAAAGGCACTAGCAACAAAACTAGAACACAAGCAAAGAATTAGAAGAAAATGTCTGCAGTGTCTAAAACACTCAAGAGCTTACTAGTCAGAATATGTTGAGTTACTATAAAACAATAATAAAAAGAACCCAGTTTTCAAAAATAGGTAAATACAAATGAGGAAGAAATACCTAAGATACTCAGCCTCAGCTCACGTCTATAATCCCAGCACTTTGGGAGGCAGAGACGGGCCGATCACCTGAGGTCAGGAGCTTAACACCAGCCTGGCCAACATGGTGAACCCCCGTTTCTACTAAAAATACAAAAAAAAAAAAAAGCTGGGCATGGTGGCAGGTGCCTGTAATCCTAGCTACTCACGGGGCTGAGGCAGGAGAATCGCTTGAACCTAGAGGGCAGAGGTTGCCGTGAGCAGAGATTGTGCCATTGCACTCCAGCTTAGGGCAACAAGAGTGAAACTCCATCTCAAAAAAAAAACAAAAACAACACCAAAAAAACAGAAAGATACTCAGCCTCAAGAGTAAAAAAAGAAGAACTGAAGAACATAATGAGATTTTTGCCTATTTCACGTTGTAAACATGGAGAAGAATAATCACATTGAATTTTGGTGGGAGTGTGGGGATGTGGGTAGTCTCAGATGCTCCTCAAGAAAGTATTGGTTACCAATATGGACAGTTTTGTTAAAAGACAAACTGGCAGCATTTCCCAAAAATGTGAAATATCGTGATCTTAGGCTGAGTCAACTCACTTCTGGGTATCTACCATATAGATAAACTCACAGGCACAAAGATGTTTGAATAAGAATACTTACTACTGGGGTTTTTTGGTTGTTTTTTGTTTTTTTGTTTTGAGACAGAGTCTTGCTCTGCCACCCAGGCTGGAGTGCAGTGGCACAATCTCGGCTCACTGCTACCTCCACCTCCCGGGTTCAAGCGATTCTCCTGCGTCAGCCTCCCAAGTAGCTGGGACTACAGGAGCATGCCACCACACCCAGCTAATTTTTGTCTTTTTAGTAGAGACAAGATTTCACCATGTTGTCCAGGATGGTCTCAATCTCTTGGCCTTGTGATTCACCCTCCTAGGTCTACCGAAGTGCTTGGATTACAGGACTCTGCCACTGTGCCTGGCCCATGTTCTTTTTTAAATCAATGAAAATATAGGTGCAGCAACTGAGCACAACTATTCATGAAAGCCAAGTTACTTCCTAATGTGGCACCATCGTGCCTTTCTCACCAGAGTTTCTGTGTACACCACATTAATGGCCAGTCAGTCTGCCCTTGAAATCCTAAGATAGTGCAGGAGAAAAGCATAAACAGATAAACAGCGAAATGCAGAATTTTGTTGCACGGGCTATAACAGAGCCATTCACACCAAGAGAAGGGCTCACCCCAACGGAAGGAGTTGGGATCTGGGCTAACCCTTGTGGGATGAGTGAGGCCAGAGAAAGCAGGCAGGTGGGAAACCGGAGGAGGGAACTTTTGGGGGCCGATGGAAACAGCAGAAGCAGGGAATCTGTGGCGGCTGCGGATGCACAGGCCGGGATGTGTGCTACCAGAGTGTGCTGTTTGTGAGGCCCAAGCAAGGAGAGATAAGCAGGGGCCTGCGAGCTCTAGAACTGAGTCTTGCTAGAGAGCCGCAGAAAGGTTTAAGGGTGAAGTTTTCTAGGGCTTCATTTGAAGATTGGGTTGGTGCAAAAGTAATTGTGGTTTTTGCCATTAAAAGTAATTGCAGTCCAGGCATAACGGCTCATGCCTGTAATCCCAGCACTTTGGGAGGTTAAGGCGAGTGGATCGTGAGGTCAGGAGATCGAGACCATCGTGGTCAACATGGTGAAACCCCATTTCTACTAAAAGTGCAAAAATTAGCTGGGCGTAGTGGCGTGTGCCTGGAATACCAGCTACGTGTGAGGCTGAGGCAGGAGAATCCCTTGAAACAAGGAGTCAGAGGTTGCAGTGAGCCAAGATTGCACCACTGCACTCCAGCCTGGCAAAAGAGCCAAACTCCATCTCAAAAAAAAAAAAAAAAAAAAAGTTATTGCAATTGATCACATTGCCTGGCAAAGAATAAATTGAGGTACAAGAAAGAGGGGTAGGGAGATCCATTAGAGGCTGTGGCTGCACTCCTCGTAAGAGAGGAAAACAACCTGAGCCAGGGCAGTGAAGTTTGACAATGATGGCGTAAGAGGGGCAGACCTGAGCACCCAGTCAGCATGGGGAGGAGAGGGGACGGAGAGGAGGAATCTAGAGGCAACCCCAGGCTCCAACATGGAGTGAAACAGTCAATGCGTGGAGTCAGAATGAAAAGAAATCTCAGGGTGGGGCAGCTTAGGCAGATTCAGCCACTCCCATGTGCATCCTCCAAGTCCTTTGCTCAGAATTCTCCCCAGAACGTGACACACCACGTTGCAGTGGTCTAAATTCTTGTCTGTTCCTTAAAAGGAGTTGTGATACATGGACACAGGGAGGCGAACATCATACACCGGGGCCTGTCGGGGGGTGGGGGGCTAGGGGAGGGATAGCAAGGGGTGGGGGATTGGGGAGGGATAGCATTAGGAGAAATACCTAATGTAGATGATCGGGTGGTGTATGCAGCAAACCACCATAACATGTAACAAACCTGCACATTCTGCACATGTACCCCAGAACTTAAGGTATAATAAAAAAAAAAAGTAGCCTTGATAGACGATGTTTTAACCTTCATATCCATAATAGTAATCACATAGCAAACTCCTGTTGAAAGAATCATCTAGTTCCCTCTCTTAATAAACTAGAGATGCAAAAACCCAGAAGGTTAAGTGACTTGTAAGAGGCGTTGAGAGTTTGTGGCAGTGGCGAGATCTAAAGTTTGGTCTTTTTATTCCCAGACAACTGTTCTCTACACCACAAGGCAAGTGAGTGACACAGCTCGGGCTAGGGCTGGCAACAGAATGTTGAATTTTTGTTTCCTCCTGCACGAAGTGGCTGAGAAGCCCTAGTTTGTTAGAAATGGCAGCACTTCTTCCCTTGGGTGTTTAGGGAGTTCTTTCTTGTTATTTAGAATTGAGCTCTCTTTAATAGCAGTGCCTCGTGCTGAAGGTCAATGAAATGGGCTGCTTCTCACCTGGGGGAACACACACCTGGTATCTCCCCCGTTAGCAAACTGCTCTGAGTCTACCAGCTCAGAAACCCAGCATGGCTCTCTGCAGAGGGGCATGTGAAAGCCTGAATCCTCTGCCCCACTGTTACCGGATAGAGTAGTATAGGTTCTTGGCCTGATGAACAAAAAATTGAACAAAACACCCAAAGTAACAAAAGAAAGACACAGCGAAAAACAAAGTAAGAGAAGTGAGGAAGGAAAGCGCAGACATATTGACAGCGCAGCAATATGCACGTGCTGTGGTGGTTTGCTGCATCCATCACATATTGAAGACAATTCACTGAGTGGGCTGGAGCAAGCCACAAAAGCCTGATCCTCTCCAGATATTTTATGAAGCGAAAAGAACTTGGCAACACCCTTGGGTTCCCTTAAGAGGCCTCCAACTGGTTACACCCTGTGAAGGATTGGCGTAGGGCCAATCAGAGGCTCAAGTGGAAACTTCTGTCTTGTTATCAGAGGAGACAATGTGGCCTGCGTGCGGCCTAATCATGCCTAGAACTGTCTGCACCTGCTGATCTTTTGCTTCTGTGAACCCGCTGCACCTGCTTTTCTCCTGCTTATCCCCCTAGCCCGTGGTTACCCTAATCACCTATTCTCCCGCCTCACCACCACAGCCCAGGTTGTCTGCGCAGTCTCATTTTCCACGTTATTCCTGTAATCGATCTGTCCTTCCACCCTCACCAGCAGTTACAGGGCTGAGTACAGAGCCTATCTCTGGCCAGACACAGAGAAGCAGCAAGAACCCAGGGCAACGGTCCTGTGAGTGAGTGCGAATGGGAGAGAGAAACGGAAAGAACAGAAATATTTAGGGAGCACTTTTTACAGAGCACTCAGGCTCTGCCTGAGGAAGTGGGGCGAGCGCTGGTAACATTTGGACAATCGTGGTTAAACGTGACCCCGTCAGCACCCGCTGGGCCTTCTTGAACTCGGTATCTTGGTGCAAACGCCGAGCTTTGGAGAAATTCCAGGAGCCGCTATGGTGATTCACATTTCGCCCTTCGTCCAACCTCCCCGCGCTGGGAAGAAGCGCTGCGCCCGCGGCTCCGCCAGGGGGCAGGAGAAGTCACATTACAAGGACTATTTATTTTTTTTAATTCCCCAACTTTTCCCCCCAAACTCTGTTCCTCCTCATGAAACCGAATCCTCCCGCTGCGGCGTCCCAGGAGCCCGCCCCTCGCCCGCCGCTTCCCCTGCGCCGCGGCCCCGCGCAGCCGCCGCGCTCCTGCGCCCAGAGAGGTCCGAGGTCCCCGAGATGAAGGTCTGGCTGTTGCTTGGTCTTCTGCTGGTGCACGAAGCGCTGGAGGATGGTGAGTGACTCTGGGCGCGGGGCCACCTGGCTTGTGCCCTGACTTTAGCCGGGACCCGCAGCCCTCGCCGCCTGTCTGCCAGCTTTTGCGCTAACGTTCGGCCTTCGGTGGCTTGACCCCTGCGCCACTGCCTGCCAGATGCACCTGCCCCCTCCTGGTGGGGGTCTCCTTTCCTCCCGCTCTTTCCCTGCCAGGAGAGCCCTCTAGGGAAGGTGGCAGCTACCCCGACCCTTAGGAGCCCCCCAGGACCTCTCCAAGCCCCGCACCTCCTGGCGAACCAGGCATCCCCAGTGAGCGCCTGGTCCAGCCCCCAGTGTCAACGTGTCGGTCTGGGAGGTGGCGCTGGAGCCTCGGATCACTTCCACCTCCCAGCGGCGTGGCCCGGACCTCTACTACTGAGAGCGGGTGCCACCTAAGCAGGGCAATGTCTGATTCCGTTGCAGAGTTCCTACCAGGGGACCTCCTCCTCCCCTTGCAGCCCTGGGTGTGTTTCCTCCACCACCTTGGGCTTGAATCCTACAAGATCTGCCTACAACTTTGAACGAAAATGTCAGTGTATGAAACTTAGAAACGAATCAAAACCCCACAGCTTGTTATATTTATCTAATTGGATGGGAAAAGGAAAAAGTGAAGAAAATGCTTTTTTTTTTTTTTCTGTACAGCATATGGGACCATGTTCACTGCGCGTTTTTGAATGTGTGCCTGCCTGGGTCCACGCTGTTGGGTAGACTTACGACCACAGGGTCAGGTGTTATTTTCTCTCTCTCTCTCTCTCTCTCTCTCTCTCTCTCTCTCTCTCTCTCTCTCTGTGTGTGTGTGTGTGTGTGTGTGTGTGTGTGTGTGTGTGTGAGACTGCGATGCGTATATACATTCCTGTTAGCATTTAGATGTTTTGTTTGCTCCACTCACTCCATGGGTCTTATTTGTACAGTACATGTTTCATCTGGGTACATCTGGTATCCTCAAACCTCTCTTGAAATTCCTGGGCATCAGCACAATTTTTGCTTAGATTTAGTGGAAAAGTAGCTTTTGCTGTTATGCAACTTCACGCTGGAGCCAGCTTAACCTGGCTCACATTTTTATCCACTCCTCCATCCTGACCAGTTCCTTTCTTTCCTAGGAAACTATAAGAGTTGCACCCCCCCCCAAAAAAAAACTACAAAAGACAAAAACTCACATCATAGTTTGAAATTTCAAGATAGTTGTGGGACTTGAAGTTGAGCTGAGGGTCCTTAAGCCTAGACCCTTGCTTAATAAAGTGTAGGCAGTGCCTCTATTGGGAGGAGAGTAACTCTTAACTCTGTCCAGAGAGAAGCTAGCATTAGTTCAGTTTGCAAAATGAAATATTAAAATGCTCCTGGCAGGTCTTTGTATGCAACTGCTGAAAAGGCAGAAATGTAGCTTGTGGCATCATTTTTTGAATAGGGCAGGAGATGGCCAGGCAGAATTTCAAATCAGCCATTCCCTTGTTTATACCCAAGTTGCCAGTCTTAGAAGCTCAGGAAGTGGCTTCCATTCTGCCTCCTGGATCTCACCCAGCCCATGTGAGTTTATTACAAACATCTGCCTAAGTAACTTAGCATTTCTTTAAATAAAATGTAATCCATGCAAACAATAAGCATTTACAAGACAACCGGAGAAAGTGAAATAGACTGAATGTAAGAAATAATTCATAAATTTTAGGTGATAATAGCACTGAGATTTTGTTTATGAAAGTACACATATCAACTGGGTGAGATGGCTCACACCTATAATCCCAGCATTTTGGGAGGCCGAGGTGGGCAGATCACGAGATCAGGAGTTCAAGACCAGCTTGACCAACATGGTGAAATCCCGTCTCTACTAAAAATAAAAAATTAGCCCCATCTCTACTAAAAATACAAAAATTTATGCTACTGCACTCAAGCCTGGGTGACAAAGCGAGACTCCATCTCAAAAAAAAAAAAAGTACACACATCTATAATGTATGGACTATTTATGGATTAAATAGTGAACACATCTTCATTAAGTTATGAAACAGTTTGGCTAAACGTATTACGCATGGTTTTTGCTTTTGAGTTGTGTCTTGGGTTGGGCTGGGAGCTACTAAGGAGAGTGGATTACTCAGGAGGCCCTTGCAGTGCTGGTTTCTGATTGGCAGTAGGAATATGCAGCCTGCAGGGCCATCCCAAAGCACAAACTGCAGACACAAAAAACTGCCTTTTTGTTTTTCTGATCACATCTAAAGACAGTCTTTTTTTTATTTTTTTATTTTTTTAAGTTGGAGTCTCACATCTCACTCTGTCATCCAGGCTGGAGTGCAGTGGCACAATCTCAGCTCACTGCAACTTCCACTTCCTGGGTTCAAGTAATTCTCATGCCTCAGCCTCTCGAGTAGCTGAGACTACAGGCGTGTACCACCACAACCAGCTAATTTTCGTATTTTTAGTAGAGACAGGGTTTTGCCTTGTTGGCCAGGCTAGTCTCGAACTCCTGACCTCAAGTGATCTGCCCACCTTGGCCTCTCAGAGTGCTGGGATTACAGGAGTCAGCCACCAGGACAAGTCAAAGATAGTCTTCTAAGTGGAAAAGACTTCCCTGCAAGTGCGTATGGGGGTGAACATCTGGCCTGACCCAGTCAAGTTTGCCGTTCCCAATTCTAAAATGCTTTAATTTTTTGGAAGCAATGTGTTTTCTCCTCATGAAGAAGGGTAGCTGGAAGATCACATAATGCTCAATGGCATGAAAGTGAGGCATGAAAACAGGCAACAAATAGCCCAAGACTCCCCTTTTAGACATTGATCATGGCACCTGATTTTCAGTATTTATATGAAATACACGCCACTGAGTTTATTGATAGGGTGCTTCTATTTTCACATTAAAAAGTATAAAATCATAGGTACTTCCTGACTTCTTTTGATTACCTACCTTTTTATTTTTTTCGAGACAGAGTCTTGCTCTTGTCACCCAGGCTGAAGTGCAGTGGCACAGTCTCTGCTAACTACAACCTTTGCCTCCCGTGTTCAAGCGATTCTCCTGCCTCAACCTCCCGAGTAGCCGGGACTACAGGCGTGCACCTCCATGCCTGACTAATTTTTTGTATTTTTAGTAGAGATGGGGTTTCACCATGTTAGCCAGGATGGTCTCGATCTCCTGACCTTGTGATCCACCTGCCTCAGCCTCCCAAAGTTCTGGGATTACAGGCATGAGCCACTGCATCTGGCTGATTACCTACATATTTTTATTGAATGTCAGGAGCAAACATTGATGCATTAATATTGATTTGTCACTACTGTTTGGTTGAACAACATGAGAACCTTGATCCATGCTAATCTGATCTTCAGTATAACCTGGGTTTATTTTGCATCTGGTGAAGGGGGTTTCTTTCTGGGAGGACTAAAGAGGTTCATTATGGTTGAGGGTCATATAGCCAGATCTCTAAGAAGGTAAAGACAGAGACATAGTGATGGTGATTCTCTAACCAGGAGCCTTTAACACTTTCGGGTCTTCATTTATTCTTTCAAAAAAAAAAAAACGTAAACATTAGTTCAGAAATCTTTAGAATGAAAAAAGAATTCTAAAATTCCTTATTGTTTACTAGTGCAAATAATGCCTGAAGCATGTAGGGTCTTGGCTGGCACGTTTGACATACAAAACAATTTTTTTTTTTTTTTTGAGACAGAGTTTCACTGTTGTTACCCAGGCTGGAGTGCAATGGTGCGATCTTGGCTTACTGCAACCTCCGCCTCCTGGGTTCAGGCAATTCTCCTGCCTCAGCCTCCTGAGTAGCTGGGACTACAGGCACGCGCCACCATGCCCATCTAATGTTTTGTATTTTTTTTAGTAGAGACAGGGTTTCACCACGTTGACCAGGATGGTCTCGATCTGTTGACCTCGTGATCCACCAGACTCGGCCTCCCAAAGTGCTGGGATTACAGGCATGAGCCACCGTGTCCGGCCACAAAACAATTTCTGATACTTAGAATGCAGAAAGAGAAAAGTTTGAGGGTAGGAGAGAGATCTGGTATCTGGTGATCAAAAGATTGATGGTTTTTAAATCTAGGCAAGGATCTAAAACCCTTTCTTTGTGGCGCTCATAATCGAATGGAGAGGAAAGATAATAAAGAAGTAAAGATATAATTTCAGGAAGTAGTAAATGGCATCAAGAATCATTAATCAGGGCAGGGCGTCGTGGCTCACAGCTGTAATCCCAGCAGTTTGGGAGGCTGAGGCGGCTGGATCACAAGGTCAAGAGATCGAGACCATCCTGGCCAACATGGTGGAACCCCATCTCTACTAAAAATGCAAAAATTAGCCAGGTGTGGTGGCACGCATCTGTAGTCCCACCTACTTGGGAGGCTGAGGCAGGAGAATCGCTTGAACCTGGGAGGTAGAGATTGCAGTGAGCCAAGATCGAGCCACTGCATTCCAGCCTGGGAGACAGAGCAAGACTCCGTCTTAAAAAAAAAAAAAAAAAAAAAAGAATCATTAATCAGGATCTACTAGGTTCCTCAGGCTGCTATAGCAAGGTACCATGGACTGGGAGGTTTAAAACCACAGAAATTTGTTTTCTCACAGTCCAGAGGCTTGAAGTCCAAAGTCAGTGCCAGGACGGCCAAGCTGCTTGTAAGATGCTGGGTAGAATCCTTCCCTGCCTTCAGTAGCTTCTGGTTGCGATCAGCAATCCCTTGACACTTTTTGGCTTGCAGCGGCATCACTTCAGTCTCTGCCTCTGTTACCATGTGACCATCTTCTCCCTGTGTTTGTCTTCACATGGCATTTGTGTGTGTGTGTGTGTGTGTGTGTGTGTGTGTGTGTGTGTTCTCATAAGACTCTCAGTCCTATTGGAGGAGAGCCTGCCCTAATGACCTCATGCTGACTTGATGACATTTGCAAAGACTGTATTCCCAAATGAGGTTACATTCACAGATACCAGGAAGTTAGGACCTCAGCACATCTTTTTGTTTGTTTTTTGAGATGGAGTCTTGCTCTGTCACCCAGGCTGGAATGTAGTGGTGCAA